ATTTAACTGCATACATTGTCTGTGTCACTCTGATGGTGAGAGTTGTTGAGCGGAGTTATTGCAGAAGGGACCATAAGAACAGATAATGTCCAGACCTAGAAGCTTGGGGGACTCGAGTATGGAAGGTCGACCTGATGGTCTACCTTCTGATATCACTGTGAGGCCAACTCTGGCAAGGTAGTCTGATTCCAGATGGGTGGAGGCAGTTGTTGATCGGATGATATGGTGATGTGGGTTGGTGGGAAATTCAGATGCCTTGTGAGGGAACAGTGAATGCACAGTACTGAAGGAGGAGAATGTGAGGTTGGAAAGGTCAGGCTAGCAAAACTGTTATCCCTGGACCCAGCAGGTAAGCAGAACTCCTAGGTCCAACAGTCTTCCTCTTCCTTTTGCTGCTATGTTTCCTGATTGGAGTTACATTTGACCTGCAACTTCAATTTACCATTTAAATTACTGACTCACTTCCAGGAGGAGATTGACTCTTTACCCAAGTCCAACTTCTGTTTAAAGCTGCAGATTGGGGGTATTGAGGCAGGTTGTTGTGGGAATTCAGATTTTTAACACATTAACTCCACACCTGACCCAAAGCTGACAGTTTTTTGAAGGTTAAAATCCCCTACCCTCTCTAATCTTTATGTTTTAATTCTAAATTTTAAATCTAAAATTCTAATAGGACTAGACAGAATAAACAGAGGGAAGATGTTCCCAATGACTAGTGAGTCTAGAACCAGAGGTCACAGTCTAAGGATACAGGGGAGAACATTTAGGACTGAGATGTGGAAAAATTTATTCACTCAGACAGTGGTGAACTTGTAGGATTATCTGCCACAGAAAGTGGGTGAGGCTAAATCATTGAATGTTTTCAAGAAAGAGTTGGTTATAGTTCTGAGAGCTAAAGGGATCAAAGGACAAAGGGTGAAAGCAGGAACATGATACTGAGTTGGATGATCTGCCATGATCATATTGAATGACAGAGCAGGCTTGAAGGGCTGAATGGCTTACACCTGGTCCTATTTTCCATGTTCCTCTGCTTCCGTTTCAGGATTACTGTTTCCACAGGTTATCTTTGTTTGATGTGCACGTGTTCTGAGGAAGATCTTCATCTGAAACTTTAACACAACTTTTTTCTCAGGTAATAGCTGCTTCATTCAATGTATGTGACAACTGCCACAGATTACACAAAATGGCACTTAATGTGGAGGCATGGGTCATATGACTGTGGAAAGCCAACCAGTACACTAAATACAACTACATTTCAGCAAAATTCTGAATTCATAACAAAACAAAAAAAATTGCATGCACTGTTGTTTATGGCTACAAGTTACCCTTGTTACTTGAATACACATGAGACAACAATGAAACTTATTATTCACTAACAGAACTGTATTAAGTCTAGTCGGTTCTGCTTCCCTCAGTTTCTGCACATGTATTACACAGTCTTTAAATTACGCAGGTCTCCCAATGTTATCTGCTCATTGCCAGGGTGATGCTCCTTCTTTGCGAAGTGTCATTCCCATGGTGAGGGCAGTTGCCATGGTAACTGTTGTATTGTTGAAAAGTACTATACTGGTGGTGAAGTCACATCTTCCTGATCAGTTCCTTGCAGCAAGGGCACAGCTTCATTTTCTCTAGTTGTACACAGAGTTTGCAGTCACAATGATATATCTAACCAAGGTGACAGCAGCTCAACACAGATCCCAAGTTCCCATATGAGCTGACTTTTGTTGGGAGTGTTGAAAATTTATACTCTGACAGGCTCTCCAAAACTCAGCTCAAGCAGTACTTGTCAGCTTTATCAAAGTGATACTTGGTTTTCTGTCCTTTCCACCTTGATTTTGAAACCCATGCCTGTTACTATTTCTGGTTTCAGTAGACTTTTTTTTACTGCTGGAAGAGTGGTTTGGATGCAAGTGAAAGCAAAAGAAACAAACTGCAGACGTTGGAAATCTGAAATAAAAACAGAAAGTGCTGGAGAAACTCAGCAGGTCTGGCAGCATCTGTGGACAGAGAAACTGAGTTAATGTTTTGAGTCAAAATGACTCTTCCTTAGAACTGAAAGAGTTGGAAAATTGCATTTTTTATGCTGTTGAGAGAGGGGGCGATGACCAAGATGGTGAAGGTGCTCAAGCAAAAGATAAAGGAGTTGCTAATGGTGGTGAAGGAAGGGATGGAGATGTAAAATAGTTGTAAATAAAGATGTGAAAAGGAGAAGGTTGGTCTGCTGTGGTGAGAGTAAAATCAACAAGACATAATCAAGACATGGCTGGGGAGTAATGATGATAGAAAATGAAGGACAGAGGTCATGCCCGGAAGTTGTGGAATTCAATATTGAGTCTTAGAAGCTGTAATGTGTCTAAGCAGAAAATGAGTGCTTGCTCATCTGCCTTCCATTATACTTCTTTGGAGAGCCATTTCAGACCCAGGATGGAAATATTAGCATTGGGAGCAAGGTAGTTTATTGAAATGGCAGGTAATAGGAAGATGAGGTGTTCTGGAAAGAAGTAATCTAGTCTGAGTTTGGTTTCGCCAATTTAAAGGAGACCAATTTGTGAATAGCAAATACAGCAGACTCAACTTAAAGATGTACAAGTAAAACACTGCTTCACCTGGAAGGTATGTTTGGGGCCTTGGACCATGATAAGGGAGGAGGTGAAAGGGCAAGTGCTACTTCTTGTGTGATTGCATGGGAAGGTGCCATGAGGGAGTGAGGAAATGTTAGGAATGATGGAGGAATGCACCAGGTTGTCACAGAGGGAATGGTCCCTGCAAATGTTGACAGTGGCGGTGGGAAGGTGTGTTTAGTGGTGGCATCCTGTTGGAGGTGGTGGAAATGGCTGGATATAATTTCTTGAATACCGTACCTGGTGGGTGGAAAGTGTGGACAAGGGAACAATGACAAATGTAAATGGGAAGAGAAGAAGGCTGTGTTCGATACATTTCCCTTAATTCTGCCTCCTCCGTTTCCCCTCCTTCCCTGAACAACAATAGGGTTCCCCTCTTTCCACTTTCCACCCATTAGTGTCTACATTCAAAGGATCATCTTCTGCTATTTCTGGTACCCCCAGCAGGATAACTCCACCAAAAACATCTTCCATCTTTATCTTGCCCTCCAGTGTCAGGGACCATTCTCTCTGCTAACCTCCTAAGTTTCTCCAGCATTTTCTGTTTTAAGTTTGGTTGTAGCCTGACATTAGTCTTCGGGCTGGACGATTTTCTATGACTTCAGTAGGCATATTTCTCCACTCGAGGATTTCCTTGTATGAGCCTGTGTTGGATTTGCTCAATTTCATCATGATCTCTTTGGCGATTTTCATTTCAGCCTCAACCTTTCCTTTTTGACTGGGGATAGTGTGGGGATAGCGCGGAGATAGTGTATGTTGTTGAATTTCCTAATCCTTCATGAAATGCTTGAATTCTTCACTCTTGAAGTGAGGGACATTGTCACTCATTACAATTTCCAGAATGCTGTAAAAACTGAATTGTGCTTTCAGGCGTTCTACAATATATTTTCTAATCAACCTGTTCAGAGATATTGTTACACACCTCTGGACCAGTTGGGACTTGAACTTCTTGGCCCAGAGTTAGGGAGTCTATCACTGCGCCATAAGAGCACCTCGGGCATTCTACAATCTCAATCGTAGTCATTGACATCAGCTGGGCTAACTCTGATTAGTGAAAGGAGTAGTCAATGGTGGTAGGATAATCAGTTCCTGTGAGAGTGATGAGGTCTACTCCAAGCTTCATCCATGGTCTTTCTGGGACGTTGTCTGTCATCAGTGACTCTCTAGCTTGCTCAGCTGGGTACTCATTGCACACACGGCTCTGGCTGATGTGGTCCTTAATCTCACTGCCAACGTTTGGCCTTCCTCAGGAAATTCCTTGATGACTTGCATCGATATACTTCAGCATCTATTTTCTCATCTTCTTAGGGATAAAGAATCTATTTCCTGTATACCCACTTATAGCAACAGGCATGACTGTGATGCTTTCAGGCTATCCCTTTCATCTCAAAATCCATACATTTTAAACTATATTATCCCTGACATCAGATATTTCAAGTGATGTATACAATGGCTGTCACAAACTGCACACAAAGAAGCTTGCAGAGAAGGTAGAGGTGGCATGGCTGTAGCAAGCCAGCCTGAACACTAAATGCAACTGCAATTGAATTTTTTAGCCACAGAGCAGGTTGGTGGCTATCATGTGAATTTTGTTAGTGTTCAGAGTGGCAGCAGAGTATCAACGCTGCACCTTCGCCTTCCTCCCTCCCTCCCTGTGACATTTTGCAAATATGACTGTCTTTTCAGGTCCTTCATTTTGGAAATGCAATTAATGTCTCTTGCTTGGGCACAGCTTGTCCCTGTGAGTTTGCGTCCCTGCAAACGAAGCCTTTAGTCCCCAGTGATAGCGAGGCAAAGATAGTAAAAGTGCCTGAAAATTAATCTGTCAGATTTTATAGGATAGCTTTGAAAGTCGACAAGTTGAGAATTGAATAAATTTAACTTTTTCACCATAAGTTAAGAATCTTCTCCATCAAGCTAAACTCAGACAGGATATTATTTTGTTTTGTGCAACTGCACAATCTGGACTGACACAAAGCAGAAACATTTGCTTTTCTATCAGCTTTTAAATGCTGACAGACCTGCAATTTCTCTTCCATTCCAGGTTTTGCCTTTAGGTTCCCTGAGAAGAAGGGCAAAGTTTAAGGTAATTTTTCCATAGACCAATCCATGTCATTTAAAAATATATAAACTTGAATGATCATTTAAATAGAATATTTCATTAAATACGTTTTACAGAGATGTTTTCCCTGAATTTTCCAAGCATTGCAACACTTACTTCAGCTGTCAATCTGGTAAGGATCCCTGTTGTACCAGCATCACAACTTTAATATAATATTGCATACAAATGAATGAGTTCATTTCCTTTCACAAGCATAATAACAGCCTTGCCGATTACTCTGTACTAAGATACCCGCTTGTGGTGACATTGAGGCTGACCTTGGAGTCACCTCCCCCGCTGCCGCACTCTCCTTTGTCGTACCACCATTTGTTTTTCAATTTGTCCAAGAGGCCTTGTTCATTCAGTTTTAATACTGCGAGGTTAACAGCATTTCTTGAAACAATAAAACATATTTGTAAGAAAATGAACAATTGTAGTAAGTGTACGTGAAAGGAGCACAATAGGACAAATTGGCTATTTTCACGGAATGGAGAAACGCTTGCACGGCAAATAAAGTGTTAATATTGGAAGGTGGCATGAGGATCACATTGTTCAAAACTGAAGTGTGCGGGATGGGGATTTGCCTTTAGGAAAAATAAATTAACATATCATGCAACCACACATTCTTCACACGTGACAGCATTAATTTTACCAGATCAATTGAAAAGTTAAAGAATTATAAAACTAAGACAGCAAGAAACAATTAAAATTAGACAACACATTAACGAAATAATAAAATGGATGCATTAAAAAAAATTATCTCTGTATTACCAACCTTACTTAATCCAGGCTTTTAAACAATGTAGAATTTAAGATACCTTACATTCTTGACAATTAAAAGAGGAAAAAAAGACTGGAAACATCAGGGTGGGTGGAATACTATAACAACATATAGAATATTGTTACACTATTCCACCCACCTTAATGATGCTCCTTTAGGCGTTGCCACTCCATATCCTTTCGAATCCAGGTTCCCTCCTACTTTCATGGTGTCACATGGCTTCCTCTGCTCAATGTATTCATTCATTGTTGATTCTAGCAAGAAGGCAAACTTTCCTTTTGATTTTCGAACTTTGGCAACTCCATCAGCTGTTGTTTTGGTAAACACAGATGGTTCGGCAGATTTCATGTAGGACCACATTTTTTCATATACTGCTATTTTTGAGCGCTGGGGGAGAGAGAAGGGCAGAGAGAGACAGAAATAGTATGATATAATTTGTAATAATATTCTTCCCTTAAATAGTAAGTTTAGAGCAGAGATTGATCCATAGTGGCTCTATTACATGAGTTTTGCATCAAAGGTTTTCAGGATTTCATACATCTGAGAGAGAACAAGATAGAAAAAAGTGCAGAAGGAGGAAATGTGTATCTTGTATTTATATTGATTCCGTATTATGATTTTTAATGTGCATTTTGTGTGAGTTTTAGGTTGATGGAGAGCTAATTTTGGATGTGAAGATCAGGGAAAAATGGATAAATTGACTTTGAAGCTCTAATTAAATTAACATATTGATTACTAAGTTTGGCAAATAGTGACACATGAAAATGTTAATGAAGACAGTTTAGCTGTTGAGGATATCCTGTTTAGATTGTGACTGAAGCCCTGTGTTGACTGAGAAATAAAATAACATGATCGGAGAACATTGTAAAAGCTCTGGCTGCAGAGGATAAAAATCAATAATGAAAATATACTGGGTGTACAGATCTTGACGAACCATAGGGAGAGAAGAAAGAAAAGACATTTAGCATGCTGGGAAGTAACAACTATTCAAACTAGGATAATGAGTATAATCAGGCATAACTTTTGTAGCTTAATAAATTGTGCTGATACCAGTGCATCAAGCATCTCTCTCTCCAAAATTAACCATGCCATCTTGAATCCAGTCACAAAGGATGACAAAGAAGATTCATACAATACTATGCAGTCAAAACCTTAATGAACCTATATGGAATTGAATGTAAAGGTAAGGAGAAGAATGCTTTAAAAGGCAGATCAGTGGATGCTGAATGTGATGAAAATGGTAATGAAAAGCAATCTCATATTGAACACATTGGATTGAGTTGTTGGGTGGATTGTTCTCTGCACATCCATGGTTTACTGAGGTAACCGCATGTGTAACATATTCAACCAGATTCATTTTTGCTCCTGGATGTCTAAAAGATGACTTGTGAGCTTTAGCCTTTTCAGGAAAGTTTTAAAGCTGCTGGAATTTTTTGGAAAAGTAGGGTAGGGTACCTTTTTGGAGACAGAGGGGATCCTTTTGGATAGATCCACGAACACCTTTGGGAGAAATGCAAGGTGCCCTTTAGGAGAGGTCAAGTGCCCTTTGGTAAAAGTAGACTTGATTGTACACAAGAAGTGGATAAATGATTTAGAACTGTCAAACTTTTGGGACTGTAGAGAGAGCTGTAAGTGACGTGTCAAGTTCATTGGTGCTGTCAAGAATTTAATTTTTTTGCTGTTATTTTTTTTTCCATCTATTATGTAAACCTGAGGGTTATCATTATAGGATTTGAATTGCATGACTGATGTCACAATTTATCATTATCACAACGAGGTTCACAGTTTGGTTGTTAGCTCAAAGCGCTTACAACACCTGTGAAATGGGGGAACAAATACAGATGTGTATTTCTATAACATATTAATGAGTTGAAGGAAGTTAAAACTAATGAATGGAGACTGAACAATGAGTCACATTGGGTTACTTGGATAGAACAAGGGGAGTATGCACAAGGTGGTTTGAAGGAATGAGAGTTGTTTTTTGTTTTTTTCTTATTTTAAGGCAGCTGCATGAAGTTCCAGATCACCAAAATGGTTCTTTCCCACAGTCTTCCTTTGCACCCAGCAGCCCTGGGATGGGACATTTTCTCCCAAGTTGGGTTTCTGCACCCAGGAATTTTCCTGGTACTGTCCTCAATTTGGAAATCAAAGTTCAGGCCACATTTATAATGAGAGCATCTAACCATCACTTTTGGGTGATCCAATCTAAAACAGTTGGGAATAATGATAATAAAGTCTATACGGAAGAATTTACCAGTTTCATTGATGTACATGGGTCAGTTTCCTTGTAAATTAATTATTTAACTTTAAAAACTTTTAAGACATTGGTGCTCTTGCACATTTAAAAAAAACCTTAATTTTAACAGTCTCTTCAAAGGCCCCATTGGGTGCAATTAGTGGAAATTCATCATTGGGATCATTTTGTTTTGATGGGTGATCAATTCAGTTGGGAGGGCCAATTTTGTCAAAATTGGTAAAATTTACACAGGAGGTTATTGAAGGTAAATTTACTGTTATAATAATTTGTGCTTGAATTCTATAATTTTTGTGCTATTTTGGTTGATTTGGGCAAAGCGTTCTGAAAAGAAAGCACATACACAAGTGGATTCTGTACTCAATAATCTGTATAAGACAATAAGTTATAGGAGCAGAATTAAGCCATTTGGCCCATTCAGTCTGCTCCACCACTTCATCATGACTCTTATGTTTCTCCACTCCATTCTCCTGCCTTCTCGCTATAACCTTTTATCTCCTTACTAATCAAGAACCTGATCTATCTCTGTCTTAAATATGTTTAATGACTTGGCCTCCACAGCCTTCTGCAGCCATCAGTTCCACAGATTCACCACCATCTGGCTGATGAAGGTCCTCCTCATCTCAGTTCTAAAGTGTGTTGTCCCTTCACTTTGTCCAGGCCTCTCAGAATTCAATAAGTTTCAATCAGAGGACACCTTATCCTTCCAAACTCCATTGTGTACAGACCCAGAGTCCTCAAACCCTCCTTATACTGTAAAGACTTCCTCCTTGAGATTATTCTTAAAAAAAATCTCCTCTGGAACCCCTCCAAGGCCAACACATCATTCCTTAGGAATGGGGCCCAAAACTGCTCACAATATTCCAAACGTGGTCTGACTAGAGAATTACATAGCCTCCGCAAATCCTGTACTCTAGTCCTCTCAAAGCTAACATTGCATATGCCTACCAAACTGCCAACTGAATCTGTATGTTAACCTTGAGGATCCTGAACTAGGTCTCACAAGTCCCTTTGTGCTTCAGATTTTGAAACCTTTCCCCACTTAGCCTTTATTCTTCCTGCCAAAGTGCATACCCTCATACTTTTCCAAATTATATTCCATCTGCCACTTCTTTGCCTACTCTCCTAGCCTATCCAAATCCTGCTGCAGCCTCCCGCTTCCTGAACATGATCTGTCCCTCCATCTATCATTGTGCCATGGGCCAGGACCTTTGCCAGGTATTGGTTCTAGATGAGGTGAAGCAGTTGAAACCCAATAAATCCTGTAGGATAGATGAAGCATTCTCCAAAAGTCAGCTTATCACTTTTTCTTTGGGTTAATACAAGTCGTCATTTTTTTTTTGATCCAACCAAATTTCAGGAAATAACTCACAATTTTTCGGCCTTTTCCATTAAAAAAATTGTGTAAACTTCTAAGTAAAACAGCACTTCATTACTGTAAAGCTGACAAATAATAAGTCAGCATATGCTTATCTGTGCAACAACTGTGTCAGTCAGAGACTCCGAGTATAGCTGTTCAGTAACAACATAAGGATTAGAAAATGTAAATCAGTCATGGTGCCCATTGTGAAAATACCGAGGTGGATACATCTTCCACAATATAGGGGAAGCTAACGAAAAAACCTTTAATGATCATGTCACCTCTAGGCAGTGCCAGAGCAAGACACCACTGTATAAGTTAAACCAATTATTAAGAGATAGCAAGAACGGCAGATGCTGGAATCAGAGATAACACAGTATGGAGCTGGAGGAACACAGCAGGCCAGGCAGCATCAGAGGAGCAGGAAAGTGGATGTTTCAGGTCGGGACCCTTCTTCAGAAATGGGCTCAGGAGGGAGGAGGGAGAACCAATTATTAAGTTCCATTTTAGTGTCAGACGGAGGGAATGCTGCATTTTCAGAGCACTGATTTAGGAATACTGTAAAGGCCATATCTGCTTTCTACATTGTTTCAGGTGGAGGTCACAGAATCTCGGACATTACTTGGAAGAACAAAGAACTGAACCTTCCAAGCAGTGACAGGATGGAAACGTTGTCATTAACCCTGAAGACTCTCCCAAAGCAGCACTGCCCTGTTTGTGTTGGTGGGTGTAGTTGGGAGCTGGTGTGGGTTGGAGATAGTTTGGTCAGGCTTTGAGGAGTAGGGAAGTCAGATAGTTCCAGGAAAGTCGAGAGTTTGGGAGGGATATTTGGATAGGATCCAGTCAGGGAGGCTTGTCAGGTGGTTGGCTCGTTGGCTTTAGTTGGATCGAATTAGGTAGGGGTGGTTAGGTCTGATTGAGGTGGGTTGGTAAGTTCGCTTTGTGGTAGTGGTCTGGTTGGATCAGTGGGGTAGTAGGTCAGGTTAGGAACATAGTTAGGGTCAGTCGGGTTGGGGTGTGTGGTATGGTTGGGATGGGTGATAAATCAGGTGGTCAGTAGTGGGTCAACTGATGGGGCGAGAGGGGCACATTGTTAGGACTAGGTTGGTCATGTAGTCAGGTTGGGTGGGAATCGGGATTAGGATTTAGTTGAGGGATAGCAGGTGTGATTGAGGGGTCGTCTGTGTAGCTACCTGGGTGTTAGACAAGGATTTAATTTGTCTAAAGTTTCCCAGAGAATATTCAGGTGAATGCTGCAGAACTCTCCATAGTCTCTGATCCAAGCCTTGGGGAGCTGGAGAATTGCTTCTCAGAAGTTTAAACTTCCTGGGCAATTCCCATGTAGCTCCATGCACCAGGACATCTGCAGGTGTGATTGAGCATGCATATTCAGTCATACATCTGGTCTCTGATGAGCCCAAAACTGGAAGAGTTGGTCAAAAGATCTTTCCTGTCCAACATTCCTCCTCAATTAATTCTACTAAAAACAAATTATCTGGCTTTGATACCCATTGATGTGTGTGCCAGCATACAATGAATAAATGGTTGTTTTTTTGTTTCAATACAACAGTTTACTACAAAGCAATTATGTTAATGCAACATGCTTTGAAGCATTTCTGGCACTCCATACAAGTTTTGCTTCTCCTCTGTCTCTCCTTTTTCTCTGGTTGCTACACCATGCAACAGTTGACAAACTCATATGAAGTAACCCCCTTAAGCAAGTCTGCAGGATTCCTCAAGTCTTTCCTGCAATTTGATGCATTTTACATGGAG